ACATATAAAGCACTCCCATCAAGCTGAGGCTCATTGCTCATCATCTGAGTTTTTCCAGTTATACAGAGTGGAAATGATTATCTTCCCCTTGGGGGAGTTGTGATGGGCAAATCATGTCAACAGTATATTTATATATAGCCATGTATTGCTCAGTGATGGGGGTGTGTCATTGCCTGTACACCTAGGCTGTATGATATGGCTACCATTGTCTGTGTCGCTCATTGCTGACCAAGTGTCAGGGAGCAGGTACTTGACCATATAGCATACCGCTCTTTTATGTTGACCATGTAGCATACCGCTCTTTTATGTTGACCATGTAGCATACCGCTCTTTTATGTTGACCATGTAGCATACCGCTCTTTTATGTTGACCATGTAGCATACCGCTCTTTATGTTGACCATATAGCATACTGTTCTTTTATGTTGTTTGCTTTCGAGACAGTCTCACTCTGCAACCCAGGCTGCGTTGATATTCACTGTGTAACCCAGGATGGCTTCAAACTTACTGAAATTCTTTTGCCTGAGTTACATGAGGAAAAATACACACACACACACACACACACACACACACACACACACAGCTGGCCTTAGAACTCCTGATTCTTTTGCTTTCATCTCTCAAGTGTGCTCCACCATGCTGGGCTCTTACATCGTAGTTTTCTGACTTGCCATCAGTGCTAATGCAATGTAAGTTTATCCAGTGGCCTTTCTTCAGGAAGCCATGCATTGTTTCCTCATGCAGGAAGGCCTTCCCTTTCCTTTACCTGGATTGTCATGCTAAGGCAGGGTAGGCTTCAGCCTGTACCTCTGAGGAGCTTATCTTTGTTAGACCTCTCACGCAGAGTCGAATGCCTTTCATTTTAAGCAGTATGAGGACTGTCATCCTGCTATGTTTTGTGTGGAAATTCATGTATGTACATGTCTGTAAACTCACAGCCTAGCATGGTCCAACCGAGCTGACAGCTAACTGTTGGCGTTTACAGAGTACCAGAGACAGTGTGAAAGTTTAAATACTTAACAAATTCTGAGCTTCCGATAAGCTATTGTTCAGTGAGTCTAAAACAACTAACCAGCTGACAAGAGAGACATCAATTTGTAGCCTGCGTTTCACTTTGGTGGTTAGTAAAAGTGTGGAGTTGAATGCTGGCTCTTGAGTGACTCCCTGCACCAGGTCCCCCTCTTCTCTGGAGACACAGGATTGCAGGTGCTTTGTGCAGCCCACAGCTAGTGATGGCAACTTTATCCTTGTTGGAGTAAGACACATTTATTTTCTGCCCTAATTGATTTGAGATGGCTGATGGTATACAAGCTTAGAAATTATTGAATTAACTGCTAACGTCAAGTTTTAAAAAAGAACAAAGATATGTGATTACTAAATGTATTATTTCCTACATGGCCACTTTTTCCTGTGGTGCCTTTGGTGCCTTTTATACCCAGACTGGATTTTCTTTTTTTTTTTTTTGGTGGAGCTATAATTTATATATGATATTCACCATTTTAAAGTGTCCATTTAATCATTTTTAGTATAGTCACAAAGTGAATTGGCTTTTGATATTTCGAAAGTGAGTTAAAAATCGTCAAGATTAATAGCCCTCCTTTCTCATCTTGCTTGGACTGTTAGCACACTGGATTTTGTTCAGTGTTCTTTAGACCTCTTCTCTGGAGTCCTTGTAGATTATGTAACCATTTGGCATTGCAGCAGAATTTAATTTTACCTGCTGATGAAACAGTGTAACTATCCCCATGTGGAAGACAGTCTGCCTTTCAAAAAGATGGCTTAGATATTCTGAATCACATCAGCTCCACACTCCTGGCGCCTCTGTGGCTCTCCAGCATGTACTGGGTTGATGTTGTATGGAATAAGGGTGTTGTCTCTGCCCTCCTGTAAGGGATTCTTAGACCTCTGAACTCTGATGAAAGCCCAATGCACATCATAGACCTGTAGGCTGTCAGTGTTTCAGGGCCACCTATGATGGGAACTGTGTCATAAACATCCTCACCTTAGAGGTAAGGAAATGGATCATAGTCTGCTGTGAACTGTGTCCCACATCCAGTGAGCGTCAGGTGGAACTTAGAAATTCCTGTGCTATGGCTGTAATGATCCTCTTTGACCTTTGATCACTTTTGGGGACTATGAGACACTGTAGGGCAAGCAGTGCTGTAAACTTTATAGGGAGCTCACCAAATGAAACAGGCCTGACTCCTTGTCCTTTCACTGGCTGTGAGTCCTTGTTAGCCAGGTGATCTGAAAGAGTCTTTAACATTTCCCAGGCTTGATTAGCTTATCTTTTGGGACAGTTCTGTGAGCCATATTTCAAAAAATGAAACGGGTAAAATTAATATTATTAATGCCTTTTCTTTAGAATATCCAAAATATAATATAATAGGAACATTACTAATGAAGTATGCTTTTGGTAATAGCTCTGCAGTCTGTTGCGTATTCTCATGTGTGCCAGCCACATTGCAGGTGTTGGTGGCTAGTGCTGTTGTTTAGTGCACGTGGAGACTGTCACACTGCCAGGACTGGGGAAGCTTATGGAGGGCTGCGGACTGATGTCTCACAGGCTGAATTACAGCCTTGGCTTCATTTTGTTTGATTTTCATCTGAAAATTATCTTTGAACTTTGAGCATCTTTTAGGCAGGCGTACGTTCTTTGCTTGTCATGGTCACCCACCAGTTGTTTTCTGGTCAGCAGTGATGTTGGTTCTATCTTCCACCCTTTTATGCCAGCAGCCCTCCCTTCCCATATTCAGCTGGTGAAAGCAAGGCTTGGAAAGGAAGTGATTTGTCCAAGGTCAATAGCTAGTTAGCAGATCCAGGAATAGCAGCGGGAGTCACTTGACTCTGCATTGGCTTCCTCCTCCAGTTACATCACTGCCAGTCACTTCTGCCTTTATCACAGGATTACAGATGAGCTCAGGGGCTGCCCAAATGGGCAGTGGTAACTCACTCTTTTCTGATGGACGGTGGAACTATTTCATTTTAAAAGGTTTAAGCTTAAATAGCATATAATTTTTTAGCAGTGTCTTCTGTAGTCCAGGCTGGCCTTGAGCTAACTATGTAGCCAAAGAATGACCTCAAACTCCTAATCCTTCTGCTTCTGCTTCCGGAGTTCTGGGAATGTAAGTATGCACCATCACACCCAGTTTATGCAGTGCTGGAGATTGTGTATGCCGGTCAATCACTCTGCCAACTGAGCCACATCCCCAGTCCCCAAGTAGTGTATCTTCTGATCTGTTATCTGTTCCCACTTAACAGAAGGTAATATAGTTTTACATTGAAAAAAAAATACAGGAAATTGGCTGATGAGACTTAGTGAGTAAGAGTGCTTGCTGTGCAAGCATGAGGACCTCAATTTGAATCTCAGCATCTCCATAAAAAGCTGTGTTATGTCCACACCTATAACCCTAACATTGTGTGGAGCGGAGACTTGGAGATTGGCTGTGGCTTCCTGGCCAACAGCCAACTTCAACTGCAGTGAGAGAACACCTCAAAGGACTAAGACAGAAAGCAATAGAACAGGACATCTGATGTTTTCTTTCAGGCTCTCTGCTCATGGATATATGCAACTCCTCCATCCTCCAATGTGTGCATATACCACTCCCCATGATTTATTATGTATGCATGCATGTGCGTGCTTATACACACAGAGAGATGTATTATATACACTAGACCTTGCATTAGGTACAGAATTTTGTACGTTTTATATTTGATTATGTTCTACATAAATTTTGTATTGTGCATGGCACACTAAATCCTGTGGTGTAAGTAGGAAACCATTCCGTTTTACCCATTTCTTTTTCAGAGTTGTCCCCCATGCTCTGGGTCATGTTCCTCACCTCCCGTTCTCCTCTGTTTCAGATACAGGAGAACTGTATGTCTGGGGCCGGAACAAGCATGGACAACTGGCTTCCCTGGCTGCATTCCTTCTTCTGCCCCAGAGAATAGCTGCACGTTGCTTTCAGAATGAAAAGCTCACTGCTGTCTGGAGTGGCTGGACACACCTGGTTGCTCAGACAGGTGAGGGTGTGGCAGAAAATTTGGGGTTGGGAAGAGCAGTTGTCCAGATCCTCACGAGTTAAGGAGGGGGTAGTGGACTTTAAATACTGGAAAGTGGAGGATTTGGTATCTTCCACCATCAGCCAGATGTTGCTTTTCCTCTCTGGATTACACCTGGAAATGCAAGACTGGATTGGTGAGCTCATTCTGCTCCTAAGAGACCTGGATATTTTGAGAGGACATCCATAACAGCCAACACAACCCAAAGGTTGGTCCAGGTACTGGTGAATTCTTGCCTGGCCATGGCTGAAGAGATGGCTTTATTTTTATTCCCACCTGATCTGAGTTAAAACATCAGAAAGTATTGGTAAATATTTGAAATTGAGTTGGTAGCTGGTGTGACATTCTGATTTAAACCCCAGTTTGACTCTGATGCACTGTGTGCATTGATTGAGTCCTTGTATTCCTCAGGACCACCACATGTCTGGCAGCTCTGGGCATCTTCACCTTTCCTTGAGTTGGTTTTCATCTCTTCCTTAGGTCAGGTCTTTTTTGGCTATTATGTTCCTTTCTTCTTGGATTTTGGTTTTTCATGGCCTTTCACTCCTGCTGTCTAGCAGTCCCCGCTGATCTACAGTTTCTCAGACAGGTTGATACCATGTCAAGGCCTTCTGAACCTCAGGGCTTCTCAGGAGTTCTCTGGCTTTGCTTGCTCCATCTCAGGCCCCAAATCCCTGTTGACCACTTTTCTAGAACTTTCCAGCTCTCAGGTTTCCCTCATAGCTTCAGTTCTCTTCAGTAAGTCACACATGCCATGTGCATTTGTCCTTACGTTTTTGTGAGCACTCGTGTCTGTGATGCTTTTCATTGATCTTTTCAAAATGTTAGCAATCATTTCGAAATGGTGGCCTGCCTAAGGAAGACACACAGTAACCTTCATGTTGCCAGGTGAGGGATGCTCATAGGAAGATTATCCATTTGAAAGAAAGTTGTTTCTTTCCTCAAAGAGCTTCAGGTTTCTTAAACATAGGGATAGAAAACTTCATCTGTCTTTCCATCTGTCTATCCATCCATCCATCCATCCATCCATCCATCCCTGTTTGTCCATCATCCAACCATCCACCCCTAAGTGTCTGTTTATGTGACCTTAAGGAGCTCTTTAGGGGAGGCAGACCCATATCAGAGAATTCAGCACTGTTACAGTATGAGACATGCAAGCACAGAGCCAAGTATGCAAGACAGTGAGTGACGGCAGACTGAGTGATTATGTGTTAACAGGTGGGCAGCTCACGAGTAGTTGTGAAACGGTACAGTGCAGCAAACCACTCTTGCTACCATACAGGAGTGAGTCTGTGAGTAATCCCTGTGCCTGCTTAAGTGGCTGACTGTGAGAGACAGAAGTGGTGCTTCTTTGAAGCGCTGTAGCGGAGTGGACCTCAGGCCGGGTGCTAGCGCTGAGTCACTCCAGCTGCTTGAAGGCTCAGCTTTATGTTTCCACCTCCACTTGAGAGCATGACTTTTTTTGGTAACGGTTCAGCTGTTTAATTAAGTTGCTAATTCAGCTTTCTTGTATATATGTACCTCACTCTGTTCCCCTTTCTCCCTGATCAAGAATAGTTAAAAGCTGGGGTGTTTGGACATCTGGGTATTATATTGAATTGGGGTGAATGGGAGGATCCTGATTCACCACTCTGTGCTCCTTGTAGCAGCCATGTCAGCCTTTGCTCTGGCTCGATGTCATTGAGAAGAAACATCTGGAGCGTCCATTTAATCAGACTCAGCTGCTCAGTTATAGGCACAAGTTTTCCTTGCCGGATCACAAGCGGCTCATCAGTGCAACACGGAGTTTGTTTGACTGTTTCTGAAGCTCCAGTGGAGGACCACAACAGCACACAGCTGCTTATGGAGAGGCATTTGTTGTGTGATACTGATCCAAAAGCGTGTGCATGTCGTCAGAGACATGGAACAGAGCAGGGCGCTTTGCCTTTCTTCTCCAGTCTCAAGATTGAAGCTTCCCCAAAGGTGACTTTGGTCCTATTGTGGATGTTTGCAATGGCTGGGACATTATGGGCTATGACAGCTGGGGGTTGTTACTGACACCCCAGTGGGTGGAGGTCAAAGAAGCAGCTGAATATTCTAACCTTGCAAGATGCCAAGGTGCCCCCTACTTGGCACAAGAGAAATATGCAGTTCAGGTACTTGTATTGTCAAGGTGGAGACACAGCGCTTGGGACCGATGTTCCCATTGGCAGGTGTGTAGCCAGGGCAGTTTGGATGGCACCCGAATAACTTCCCAGATGGTTTGTACAGAAGTGGGGATGCACTCTCTGCACTCCTGGAGTTCACTGCCCGCCTGCAGGTTTGCAGTGGAAAAATACTTTTCTGTGTTAGTCAGAGGCACTTGAAAAGAGGCCAGGAGGACCTGTTCTAATCTGGGAGAATTGGCAAGGGTACCTGTGTCTCAGGCTGGTAAAGCTGCATTCTAGAAACCTTTCCTGAGCTTCTTAATGTCCCCATCATTGTTCTCAGGAACTTCATGGAACTCCTGGGTGACTTTATCCAGCCCCGGTGACCTGCAGCTGTCTCTCAGAGATGCTCCGTTTCCTGACTGGAGATGTTACACAAAGCTGGGTGGCAGAGTTGGCTGTTTCCTCATTTGGTGACCTTGTCTCAGTTGTTTCACACATCCTCACTCAAGTAGGATAGTAAACCTTCTTGTCTGCTACATAGTGTGATTGTGTGGTTGAGAAAACCAATCAGTGAATGGTCGCAGTTAGCTATGAAGTGTCTGCCCTAGTGAAGCTCCCCTGAGGCTGGACTGTGTAAGCTGATTCACTGTTTGGTCTTGTTTTAGAAGAGCTTCTGCTCTAGCAGGTCTGTGGCAAGATAGAAATATGCTGTCTTCTACACCGAGGGCTCCTTGGCTGGACAGGCCTGTGTTGCTCCCTGACAGGCTCTGTTCCCTCAAGTCTTTCACTCACATACAGTTGGCTAGAGGCTTTATTGGATTATCTGACCTCCTAGGTAATTTACCTGTTGAATTTGACCCGTTGTGGTTCTCTTCCCAGTCTGCCGTTGCATACATCCATTTGTCTTACATGTTTAATGTCTAGGCTGTAGATTCCATGGGAACTCGTTTAACTCATGGCTGTACCCTGGCACAGGGCTGCCCCACAGTAGATGTTCAGTAGCTAATTCCCTAGAGAATGAGTAAATGGTAAGAGGCATAAAGACATGATTTTGTTGTCAGATGGCCCTAGGTTTGTGCATGACTTGCCCTAGCTCCCGCTTCTCCCCTTCTGTACCCATTGGGTCACCACCATGGTTGCCTTGATACTTTTGTCCTCATGGTACTGTGACCCTCCCTTTGTTTTGTTTATTTATGTGACAGGGTCACCTGACCTCGAACTTGTGATCCTCTTGCCTTCTCCTAGTTGCCAAGATTACACTGTTCACAGTTTCTGGGGTTCTGGGGATTGAACTCACAGCTTCATGCATGCTAGGCAGGCCCTTTACCAACTTAGCTTTCGATTCCTTGACGAATTCCCTCTCCCATGGCTAATACGTTCCACGAGAGCGGTCAGTGCTTACTTCCCTTGCCACTGTCTCTCCAATTCTTAGCCCGGCACTTGTCATTCAGGAGGTCGTTAGCTGATACATGTACAATGAACAAGCCAAACTCTTGCAAACACTTTCTCACATTAGAACAATGGAAAATTGTCAGCATGGCTTAGGATTTAATGAGTGACACGGTAAAGCATAGGGCTGGACCCACATCCCCAACCACTCAGTCACATCAGCTTTCTCTGCTCTTTTGGAAAGCCCAGAGCTCCCTGGACTAGCATGCTGTGTTTTCCCTCATGAGCAGAGGTCTCTGTGAGTGCTCTGCATAGGTAACAGGCTGATTCCACATTGTCCTGAGATGTGTGGAGACATCAGTGCTTACAAATGCCAAGTGCTGGCTGCTGCCAATTTGTTAGACTTTCAAGGGAATGCTCTTCACAGGTTCCAAATGTTATTGTGGGGTGGTCAGAATGTCTAGAGTTCTTTGCTTTCCGGAGGCTGGACGCTTTCCCTGAACCATGCGACATCCTAAAAGTAGCTTTGTGGTCTCCAAGGGATATGGATTGAAAACATGAAGCCAAATGCAGAGAGCTCTTTGACTTTGTTTGCTTTTCTGTGTCACCCAAGAAAGGCCTGGAGTATTGGATGCTATAGAGAATCAGAGATGGAGGAAGCGTCTTCCTCACCTGGAAGGTGAGCAAACTAAAACCAAGCAGAGAAAGAAGATTGGAAGCCCAGATCAGTTCTGCTGCCTAGGCAGTCTCATCTCTTTCCTTGCTGTCCTTCCCTTAGCATTTACCCTGGAACTTCTAGCTTGCCCACCAGAGATGGGAATGCAGACTCTTTGGCCTAACCGTCTTAGTTTGGAAAAGGCGAGGCTGAGGAACCAGGACGGGGAAGCACAGGGAATGGGTGAAGCAGTAGGATGACTCTCAGTCAAGTACTCCTTTGACCCTATCCTTCTCTTTCCAGAGATAGTGAGATGTGGGTGATGGAAATCCAAGAGCCTGGCTAGACTGGGTTCTTTCCATACAGGAACCTGTACTTCCAGAAGGCCCTGCTTCCCCTCAAATGGATATGTGTGTGGAACAGAGCCTGGGGACAAGGTGCAGGAAGCAGTACTGGGATTCGCAGAGGCAGTGTTGTTCCCTGTCTGGTAGTACAGCAGCAATTCCGTGGGCTGCTGTCACTGTGATCCCTATAAAGTGTGTGCACAGACACTTTCCCATAGAAGTTTTCAGCTGAGTGTTCTTATCCTAACTTCACAGGTGAGTCCCCAGTTGATCGCATCGCACTGGTCCATGTGGACAGACAGATCTTAAGCTTGAACTCACTTTTTTTGTCCTCGTGTGTCTCAGAGTGTCTAGCTCCATACCTGAGCTGCTTTTATTCTTCTAAACAGAGCCATTCTCTAGCTGTGGCCAATGTTATTTCATTGTCCCAGATGCTTTAGAAGG